AATATCTTGAAGATAAGGAAAAGTCATCAGCCTACAACAACCAATCAAAAACTTGCAAACTTTGCTTGGAGGAAAAAATAGCTATCATTACTTTCCCCGACCAAAATAAATTATTAAATAAAAGATCCGAGCTCATCTCAAATGCAGGCATGAAAATAAATTTTACTACGTAACCTAAAAAAAAAATGAAAACGGAAAAAATAAAATAAAAACAAATACAATAATAATAATAATAATAATAATAATAAAAAAAAATAAAATAAATAAATAAATAAAATAAATAAATAAGTACTATATTTGCTTAAAAACCGAAAACCAAAAGAGAAAATATAAAATAAATTGACCTAAATTCATCCAAGTAAATAAATAGGCAAACCAATCCCAAATTAAAAAACTGTTCCCGCCAAAAAAAATAATAGTTAGAATGAACTACAACAACCAACCCCAAAATTGAAACAAATAGCTTTAATTAAATTCTCAAACCAAAACAAAACTATTAAATACGTGATATAAACAAATTTTTACTACGTTAATAAATAAATAAATAAAATAAGAAACAAAAAAATAAATAAATAAATAAAATAAAATAAAAAATAAATAAAAACGAGCAATATAACTTTTGACCCAAATAAATGAACAAAGCGACTTCCGGTAAAATAACCGCCATAATAGAATACCCACAATGCAACCACTAACCCGTATATATATAATAGTACGAGAAAATAACAGCAACACGTGGCCTGACGATTGCATATAGCATGAAACAGACTGTCGCCCCCTAAGTGTTGACTTTATGTTCACTTTTATATTTACACACGCTCTATCTCTGATATTGAGCACTTTATCCCATAAATATAGCACACCTTAAGACTATATTTCTTTATATATATATATATATATATGTATGACCAGCTTCAAAACAAAACAAGGTTCTTTTTGCATCTTAAAGCACACCCCCTCGTTCAGTCATAACTACTTAGTTTCATATACGGAAAGTAAACAAAGCAATTTCTAAAAATTAATGGATTTTTATTAATTAATCCGATATATATATTTATTACTTTAGACGTTATTTTTACTTTCCGTGTATATCTGATTAATTGAGTAAATTTTTATTTCATTCTCAAGTTCTTGTTCCTATATATATATATATATATATATATATATATATATATATGTTTGTATGTATGTATATATGACGTTAGGTAAATGAGATAACTAGTTATTAGAGATCGAATACGCGCGTGCTGGCGTGCATACACGGATAAGCAAATAGAAAAATTACCAAATTTAGCCAAGAGATGTAAACATAATAATGATCAATATTTATAGACAGAGCTAAGAAATATATATATATATATATATATATATATATATATATATATATATATATGCATGCAATATATATATATATATATATATATATATATATATATATATATATACAAACAGAGAAATATATATATATATATATATATATATGCAAATTATATACTTGGGTATATATATATATATATATATATATATATATATATATATATATATATATATATATATATATATATTTATTTCTTCTGTCTGTCATATTGAGCTGATGTTGAATATAAAATATTTTATATTCAACATCATCACTTGATAAGACACCGAGGGTGTTAAAACAAAATGGCTATTTTTGTCGTGATTTTATAACATATTTATATTATAATTTTTTTTAAAAATTTATTTATATATATATATATATATATATATATATATATATATATATATATATATATATTAATAAATGCACATATAATTACATTTGGTGTGTGATTTAAGTTTCGTTATTAGCCAACTCATCGGGCAAATTAAACAATAAGCAAAATCTCGTGCCCGATGAGTTGAGAAACCAACTAAGTGGACTCGCTCACAAAACTTAACCTCTTTTTCGAAAGTAATTCATAATTGATACAATAATTGTTAAAAAAAAAAATTAAAAACACGCTACCGTCCCTATCTAAATGATTGTATTTCTCTGTATCCTTTGTAACAAAAATTATGAATGTATGTGCTTTTAAAACTCAGTAAATTTTAAAATAATTTTTTCCGAATTTCGCCTGAAGATGAATGAGAACTAATGCTTTTGATTTAATTATATAAACGAATTTGAAGTTTTTAGTTTCTGCTTTTGAAACATGGTAATTCCTGTGTAGCGATGAAACCATATTTTTAAATCAGATAATTTATAATATTTATGCTCTGTAAATTTACATTTACATTGTGCACTGTTTTGTAAAAATTAAAATATCAATAAGAACACCGGATTATATATATTACTGTTCTTCTTTTCATTTTACTATACTATATTTATATTTTTTTTTTTTTTTTTTTTTTAAGCATTTCACCCCAAACAGGCGGAGAGCCACTAGGACGCAAGGGGTTACAGAAAATAGGAAGATCAGATAGGAGGATAGAAGAAAGGATGAGGGTAGTAGATAGATTAAGGCAACTGGAGATGTCGATTGACATTACACTTGAATAGCTGGATTATAACTCTCAGGGAAACAGGAGAAGGAAGAGAGTTCCACAGGCGAGAGGTGCGAGACATGAAGCTATTAGAGTAGTAGAGACGGCTACATTTATGAGTTTCGACAGTGAAGGGGTGAGAGCGGGATGCCAGCCTCGTAGGGCGCTTGAACTCATGAAGTTTGGGAACCAGCGAATGCAGTTCCTCAGGAGCAATTTCCATGAAAGTATTTGTAGAACAGACAGAGGGAGGCGACGGTGCGTCTGTGAGAAAGTGACTGTAGACGAGACGCCAGGGGTAGGGCCAACCATATTACATATCCGCCTCTGGAGCCTATCAAGAACCCCGAGGCAAACAGAAGGGGCGCCAGACCATATGGCAGCAATACTCATGCAAGGGGCGAATTGTGGATTTGTATATCTGGAGGATCGACTCAGGGGGAGAAAAACTTCCTAGCACGGCTCAGGGAGCCAACTTTCCTCTCGCAGTGGACGAGGCAATTGACTCGATGTATTTATTCCATCTCAGGTCAGCAGTCAACGTGAGACCGGAGAAGCCGCAGAGAGTTGCTTTCGGGAAGTTGAGCGTCAGACATTATAATGGAGGGAAGGGAAGGCTCTCTGTGGTGATTAATAGAGAGCAGTTTAGTCTTCGAAGCGTTGAAGTTGACCAGCCAAATCTTGCCCCAGTTCACAATCGATTGGAGGTCCTTTTCGAGGCGCACGGCAAAGGTGAGTTTTGTCAGCGAGACTGGATTTGTTTTTGAGGCAGGAATAAGGTGTGGTGTCATCCGCGTAGATGCCGACTTGAGAAGTTACGGCGTCAGGAAGGTCATTTATATAGATAAGGAATAGAGTGGGGGCCTAGGATGGAGCCTTGAGGAACTCCTGCGTTCGTGGGGTAGGAACTGGAGGAGAATCCGTTGTGAACGACCTTCAATTCACGGTTTGACAGGAATGATTGTATTACGTTATATAATTGACCCGTAATGCCATAACCCTGGATCTTGCGGTGGAGAAGGCCGGCGTGCCAAACCCTATCAAATGCTTTGGAGATATCTAGTGCCACGGCCTGGGCTTCCCGTTATTTTGGAGAGTTCGGTAGACTGTTTCCGTGATGGCTGTGGAGCACATCGGCTGTAGATCTGGCAAAGCGAAACCATATTGCTTGTCTGAGAGCAGATTATTGGATGAGGTGGTTAACCACCCCCGGTATTGATTAGAGCTTCGAAGATTTTGCCGAAGAGGGAAGGAGACTGATAGGACGGGTAGTTGGAAGGGTCAGAGGGTCGCCGGAGTTCTTGAAGACAGGAACAATCGAAGAGGACTTCCAGCAGTCAGGAAAACAAGATTCCTTGAGGCAGTAGTTGTATAGTTTTCGAAAGGGCGGGGCGCCACTTCAGGCGCGCATTTCTTTAAGACAATGGCTGGTATCCCATCTCCACCACTCGCCTTGTTGAGATCTAAATTGGAGATAACGCCCAGTACCAAGGTTTAGTTATGTTTAACCCCTCAATATGGCCTCCAGTTCTAAGAGGAAAGTCGGGTATGGGTACACCAGAAGAGTCAAGCGTCGAGTTGGATGAAAAATTTCCGAGCAAAGCATTCAGCCTTGTCGGTAGAGGAGGTCAAGACTTCGAACTGGTTGAATAGAGGAGGTATAGAGGTTTGCACTTATTCAATACACTCTTGCAGAGACGCCAATAATCTTTGGAGCCAAATTTGCGAGACGCAATACGTTCCTTCATTCGAGCCGCAAATAGTGACTTAGCATCATTTAGGACACACTTACAATCGTTACGGGCGGCGGCAAAGAGACGTCTATTGCAGTCAGACATGTTGCTACGGTATAGGTGGAAGTAGTGGTTCCTATGGGCGATGGCGGCTGAGCAAGCAGCCGAAAAACCAGGGGCAGGAGCGCGCGTCTTAGCCCTGTATTTCCTTGATGGGATGAAAGCGTCGATTCCAGCTTTAACCCAGGAAGAGACCCTCAGAAGCACATTCTTGGACGGGGAGCTTAAAGACTCCATCCCAGGGGACATCGCGGAGGAAATCACGGAACGCGTCCCAGTCAGCTCGTTGATAATAGAACGAAGTTCTAGTGGTAGGAGGTTCTTTAGGGGAGGAGTTAAAGGAGATGTTAACCGATACTACTGCATGGTCAGAGTTACCAAGTGGGCATAGTTTTGAGGCGCTGCAGGATTCGGGGATGGAGGTAAAGCACAGGTCGAGTAGAGAGGCTTTACTTGCGGTTGAGGGCAAAACGAGTGGGAAGTTAACTATCTATCTATATATATATATATATATATATATATATATATATATATATATATGTGTGTGTGTGTGTGTGTGTGTGTGTGTGTGTGTGTGTCTCTCTCTCTCTGTCTCTGTCTCTCTGTCTCTCTCTGTCTCTCTCTCTCTCTGTATATATATATATATATATATATATATATATATATATATATATATAGTTGTGTATATATGTATATATATACTTAGGTAGATATATAGATTGATATGAACAGACTGAGATAGATAAATGGATAGGAACAGATTGAGATAGATAGATAGATAGATAGATAGATAGATAGATAGATAGATAGATAGATAAAGAACAGACTTAGATAGATAGATAGATAGATAGATAGATAGATAGATATATTGATAGATAGATAGATTATTTGGCATACTGTTACTTTTATATGTAGTGATGTATCCTTGTGGACATTGAAATTTGTCGTTGCAAATATTCAGAAATCTCTTCCTTTTCACATGGGCGTTTCTAAACTTGCTTAGTTCCATTTCGGTGTTGCTCCGTGTTGCAAGAATGTCGCTGATTGCCGAGTGGAATCACTTTGAATATGATGAGCTGATTGGGCGCCTGCCGAAGGCCATGTTTTCTTGCTGGTCCAGTAAATTCGATTTAATCTGGAACAAGACGATCGGAATATAATAAGAATTCATAGTGTCCGTAATTGAGATGTGAAACCCATGTTATGTCCCTGGGGACGGAGATGAGAAGAAGAGAAAGAAGAAATAAGAAGTCGAAGGCCGGGGGCGGAAAAAAGAGAGCGAAAGAGAGTGTGAGGTTATTAGAAAGAAGAGAAAAGACAAGAAGAAGAAGAAGAAGAAGAAGAAGAAGAAGAAAAAGAAGAAAAAAATAATCTACAAAAGAAAGAATGAAAAAAAGCAGGTCGTGGGCGATCATGGCTCTCCGCAACTTCCTGTCTTTTGTAGCTCTTAATAAGGCACGTCTTTTGCACTCCTTCCTATTATCGTTATATATATATATATATATATATATATATGTGTGTGTTTGTATATATATATATATATATATATATATATATATATATATATATATATATATATATATATATATATATATATATATATATATATAGTTAAGTTATGAAGAACTTGGTAATCTTGTATGGGTAATCCCAAGGAGGATGAAATCCTGAGAGCTCAATGTAAAATCAGCTAATATTTAAAAAGAAAAAAAGACCACTTTTTATTTACCATTATAATAATTTATTTCACCAGAGCCCTTTTCGTTTCATTTCATTTTTGGAAGTGCTATCTGATGATCCGGCGTTCTTTAAAGGACTCTGGTGAAATAAATTATTATAATGGTACTTTTAGTGGTCTGTTTTCTTTTTAAATTTATATATATATATATATATATATATATATATATATATACAGAGACAGACAGAAAGACAAAGAGAGAGATTTAGGCATTACGATTAGGGTGTTAATATATTGTTTTTTAAAGATTTATATCGATATTACTTAATATTAAAAACTGCATATATGCTCCTGAGAAAAAATTATTTCGGTTGAGCTCTCTGGGCGAAAAGTGTGAGTTTATAAACAGTGACTATTACTGTTACTCATGCAATACTCTTCGATAAAATGAATGGTGTTCTCTCAGTCACTGGCAATTTTATCTAAAAATAAATATGCTCATATTCACATTCATCCCTACCATGCGCCAACGGCTTAGGGGCAGATTCTCCGAATGACGCAAATTCAGCCGAGTTTTTTTATCCTAGCTAGAATCAACCGGACGTCTAGCTACATTGATAAGCTGTGATACAGCGAATGTCTGCGGATGACAATATATGTGCTCCTGAAAAAATATTTCGTTTGATCTCTCTGGTGGGGATATTATGAGTTTGTAAACAGTGATTATTACTGCGACTAATAAAACAAATCGATAAAACAAATCTAGTTCTCTCAGTCATTGGCGTGTTTATCTAAAAATAAATCTAAAATATATATATATATATATATATATATATATATATATATATATATATATATATATATATATCATACTCTAAAATCAAGAGACAGTAGATAACGACTGAAATTGTATTTATGAATCTGTTCTTTTTTTTTTTGATATATATATATATATATATATATACAGGTAAAATGATTAGTTAATACCCTAAAATCAAGAAGACAATAGATAACGATAGAAATTACATTTATATTGTTGGAAATCAAAGTTGACTGAAAAGGAAAAATTGGGAACTCGGACCCGGAAGCAAGAATTGCGACAGAAGAAACGTTTAACATGCTACTTCCGGTTAGCTCTACTCATTTCAACTCTAAAATGATCGGACATTACCGCGCTTAAATTGAAAGGATAAAAAAAAAATCAAAAATTTAATCTACACAAATATTTTAGAAGAGTCGTTTGTGTGCATACTTGAATATATCGGTCAGAACAAAATTCAGTTTGAAGGAAATCGCAATAATGGATGAGCTCTATGACTGTGGTCGATAACATTTTACTGTCCGACATGATATGTAAAGCAACCTTCTAGAAATGCACTTCTTGCAAAATCCTGATGATTTTATTTATTTCAAATAATAGAATGGGATTTTTTTACGTTTTTGTTTTGTGGCTTTTTTGTTTTCTTTTGTTTTTTGTTTGTTTTTGTTTCCTTCATTGTCGTTTCATAAAAAGTCTTAAGTGTCTCAAATTCCCCATTTTTTAAATTTCATCCTGAAATATAGAGAAATCTTTTTTAACGTCTCTTATCACAATTTAATGACATTATCATATTTTCAGTTGATAAGACATAACAACATTCGTAGGTTGAATTTGTTCAATCTGGTGACACGGCGTAGAGGCTCGGTAGTATTTTAAAAAAATGATAGGTTTTATTGAATTTGACAAAAAGCTCCATTTGAAGCGGGAAATGAGAACAATTGAAACGATCAATAAGCAAATAAGATCTTTAAGAATTCAGAAAGGACGCAATATATTCCCTGGCGAGTGGAGATAAATTGTGTTTCGGGTGAGGTTATTTGTCAATTGCTTATGCAAAATATAATACAGAAGACGTTCGAGAGGGACGAAGAAACACAAGGCGTGAATGTCATTTGAAAATCGCGTCGAGTTGGGCAATGAGTAATAGATAGATAGATAGATAGATAGATAGATAGATAGATAGATAGATATTAACAGACTGTGAGCGATATTAACATAACTAGATAGATAATGAAATGAATTAGATAGATAGATAGATAGATAGATAGATAGATAGATAGATAGATAGATATGAACATACTGTGATAGATAGATATCAAAATAATGAGATAGATATATATTAACAGACTGTGAGCGATATTAACATAACTAGATAGATAATGAAATGAATTAGATAGATAGATAGATAGATAGATAGATAGATAGATAGATAGATATTAACAGACTGTTAGCGATATTAACATAACTAGATAGATAATGAAATGAATTAGATAGATAGATAGATAGATAGATAGATAGATAGATAGATATTAACAGGCTGTTATAGATAGATATTAACAGAAATAGGTAGATAAATAGATAATGAAAATATTTAGATAGATAGATAGTGCTATGGGTAAATTGTCACTATTTTAATTTAGCGCATGCGCGTTGTTTGTTTTTGATTTTGTCGGCTGCACATTATAGTAGGGTCACTTGGGCACTGCCTGTGAGAAAAAAAGCATCATGACGCCATTCACTCCTGCAAAATTCTGGAAACTGCATGCTGTACTGTTTGGCATTCGCACTGGAAGCTCCAATACAAAAAATTCAGAATGTTTGAGTGTCAATCTGAGAACAGCGCAGAGTATTCAGAAAGAGTTGAATGAGTCTAATGGTGATTACGAAGGTACGACAACTCGGAAAACTCACTCTAATAAGAAAAGAACGCTCGAATTTGTTGATGTGGGCCTCAGATTCAACACGGCGCCAACATCAAGTGCCTTAACGTTGTAGTGGTGCCCTGGGTCAAGGTTTGGCTACTGGAAGAATCTATGTCTGGTATCAGCACTCTGTTCTATGCCATACAAGCAGGAGAACCCTCTCAGGGCTGTCAAGAGATTCATGCGACCGCATCAACACTTAGATCTGGCTACCTATCTCCCCAGATTCCAAACCCACTTGACTATTATGTATGGTGCACAGTTAAGCGAGATAGTAACAAAATTCTTTGTAACACCAAAGCTGAACTGAAGGCAAGGATTATGGCAGCATTCACCAACTTTTAGACGACAATTTATCTATTGCACCCGTCAGTTTTATTTTCATTTTGGCGCCATTTAGACGACAATTTATCCATCGCACCCTGTATATCTGTTAAAACGAGATGCCAGTGTCATTTTCATTTTTGCGTCATTTAGGCGGCAATTTATCCATCGCACCCTGTCTATCTGTTAAAATGAGATGCCAGTGTTATTTTTGCGTCATTTAGGCGACAATTTATCCATCGCATCCTGTATATCCGTTAAAATGTGATGCCAGTGTTATTTTCACTTTTGCGTCCTTTAGACGACAATTTATCCATCGCAACCTGTATGTCTGTTAAAATTATGTCAGTGTTATTTTCATTTTTTGCGACATTTAGACGATAATTTATCCATCGCACCCTGTATATCTGTTAAAATGAGATGCCAGTGTCATTTTTGCGTCATTTAGGCGACAATTTACACATCGCACCCTGTATATCCGTTAAAATGAGATGCCAGTGTTAATTTTTCATTTTTGCGACATTTAGACGATTATTTATCCATTGCACCCTGCTGATATTAACAGACTGACATATATATATGCACAAACTTGCGATAAAATTGAAGAATACTGTAAATTCTTTGGAAACCTTAATGAAAATGGCAGCAGGAAGAAGACTTTGTTTAAATCCATTCAACTAATTGAAGGCAATAAAGCCACTAAGTTGCAAGGGAGGTACTAAATGTGAAAGAATATCAGAAAAAGAACCGGTATTAAAAAAGACAGTAGATGATAACGATTGATATTGCATTTAAATTCCTGAAAAATACTGGAAAGCAAGAAACTGAAAGACTGTTCCTCAAGCGAGAAGTGCGATAGAAGAAACTATTAGCATAGAACTTACGGTTACATCTAGCCATTACAAATATTAAGGGATAGAACGTATGTAATATACCGTATTTTCCGGCTTACAAGACGCTGCTGCTTGAATGATGCACCCTAATACTGGAAAGCAATTTCTAAGAAAAACAAAGTCATTTTCATACGACAACACATTTCATCCAAACCAATAAACAAGTAAAAAAAAATCAAGTAAAAAATAAACAGTTTAACAAACTATGAACTCACAAATAAACACAAGTAAACGTAATAATAACAACCAGCAATAAAATAATAAATAAAAACATTACACTATAAACAACCACAGAACTGCATCCGGATCCGCAATTATTTCCACTCAATAGCCCCTAAAATAATTCAAAACATAATCGTTATCATTATCTTCTATGGGGTCTGTGGGATCAGGTTGAGATCATAGACAGAGAACACCATTGCAAAATTCGTAAATTTAAGGAATCAGCATATATGCTAGGCCACAAAAATTCCCTGAGCCGACCAAGCATAGAAATGCATACAATATGGGAACCAGTAATAAGGAGTGCCGGTGAAAAGTAATAATAAGCTCTGGTAAAAAAAAACATATAAACATGACTATGTGTACGCTATCCCGTGCAGCTGTGGAAAGAAATATAAAGGGGAGACAGGCCGCCCCTTTAAGGTAAGTCTTCAAGAACACCCGAAAGGTGTAACGAGTGGAAGTGGAAAAATCAGGCGTGGCTGACCACATATGGAGAGAAAAGAGAGATCACCGCTCTTTGTAGGGTCAGGTTGAGGTCATAGACCGAGAACACCATTGGAAAATTCGTAAATTTAAAGAATCAGCATATATGCTAGGCCACAAAAATCTTCTGAGCCGACCAAGCATAGAAATGAATACAATATGCGAACAGTAATAAGGAGTGCCAGTGAAAAGCGATAATAACAACAAAAATTGCAATGTGAGCTTTAGTAAAAACATGTATGGTAACAGTAAAAATTGCAATATGAGCACTGGTAAAAAATAGTTGCTGAAGACATTAGGTTTATAATACTCAGAAATTCATACATAGATGTCCTCAAGGACACATGGCACAGTAGATAAAGGCGTTAGTTAGATCCAGTGACAAAGAGTGTGAGTTCAATACCCGGCTAAGGTAGTGGAGAACTTTCAGAGGGAAATTAACAGGAGATAACTGATAACTGACATGGCACGTGGAACAAGAACAGTCTACCCCAGTGAGCGAAATAAACGGTTCAGTTCGACATTCCAACCACCTGAAGCGTACAATACGTTGTAATAAATATAATGTACATAATCGTCATCTGCCACCATATAAAACTATAGAATAATATAACAGACAACCCATTATGCGTAACTATAGTCATATAGATGCATCCACGTGCAAAAAACGGTTTAAAATAAAGGAATCGTTAACAATAAATCTAAGAAGCAAACTGTCAATAATATCAAATATAGACATGGCCACAAGGTCCTGTCCGTGTCCGATGTTAAACACACACACACACACATATATATATATATATATATATATATATATATATAACATACAACGTGTGTTAGCACGTGCGATACCCTGTTTTCATCAGCCGCCGACCAGGTGTGATATCATGGTTTCGGTGGGTATGAAGATAAGCTAACTAATTGTTCCTTTAAGTAAAATCTCTCTCTCTCTCTCTCTATATATATATATATATATATATATATATATATATATATATAGTTAAATTACGAAAAAATTTGGTAATCCGTATGGGTAGTCCCAAGGAGGATGAAATCCTGAGAGCTCAATGTAAATTCAGAGCTAATAATTTAAAGAAAAACAGAATTAAGGCTCCATTGTAATAGTTTATTTCACCAGAGACCTTTTAAAGGACGCTGGACCCTCTTTAAAAGGTCTCTGGTGAAATAAATTATTACAATGGAGCTTTAAAGTGGTCTGTTTTCCTTTAAATTAGATATATATATATATATATATATATATATATATATATATATATTAACTTAAGGCGAAATTAAGATCTTTAAAGGTTGAAATTAAGTTTTTCAAACAATGTATCCGCTGCCAGGTTTTCCCCTCAATCAGAAGCTTGGGTTTAAAGCAGGAATATGAGAAATTGTCGTGCTTCTGTGGGAATTTAATTTCCTTATTTTATTTGATAAGGTTCTCAATGTATTTGGGTTGGGTCCATCAACGTGAGCGTGTCAATTTATCAACTAAGCATGAAGCTAAGTTGAAAATATTGGTACATCAGAGATATGGAATTACAGTGGAACCAAATTTAAATAGTATTGTAAATTTGTCTGCTCATGAACTCACTGAGCTTGAATCGTTTGTCCTTGCTCATGGGTTGGATTTTTGTATTCCACCTTCTATGCCTGACAAGTAGAACTTTTTGAGTTTGAGGTCTTTTATGCAAGATTTCACCTATTTCTGATAATGTGGTTAGTGATTTAAAAGCCTAATTAATTGCTAGTTTCTCTGTTGCTTCAGCGGAATCAAAGTGGAAAGCTGAATATCAACGAATTGTTAATTCATTGAAGAATAATTTTGATCTTGTTATCTCCAGATCGGATAAAGGTGCTGGTGTTGTTATTTTAGATCGGTCAGATTTTGTAGCTAAGATGTCTTCGATTTTGGAAGACACTTCTAAATTTATAAAGCTAGGATCTGCCGATACATGTGATACAACTGCCTCAAGTGAAATAAAATTTCAGAAATTACTCTTGAGGTGGGTAAAAACTGGATTTCTTTCACAAGAAATTTCTAATAAAATTCGACCGTCCGGGTCAATTCGTCCCCGTTTGTATGGGCTTCCAAAAATCTACAAGGATGGAGTACCATTGAGACCAATTCTGTCAATGGTTGGTTCAGACCAACACAAGGTGGCCAAATGGCTGTCATCATTTTTGGAACCAGTGTTGCAGCGCTTAAGTGGATTTTGTTTAAAGAATTCTTTTTCCTTTGTTGACCGTATCCGAAATTTGTCTTCTTCGGACAAGTTCACGTGTTCATTTGATGTTTCTTCCTTGTTCACTTGTGTCCCTCTTTTAAAAACAATTAATATTTGCTGCGATTTGCTTTATCGCAGTACTTTGTCTCCACCTGATTCCTGATTCTGTATTTGTGGATTTGATGAAATTGGCTATGTCGTCTGTTGAATTCCGTTTTAATAATACTATGTATCGACATATTGACGGGGTCGCGATGGGCTCCCCTTTGAGTCCGGCACTTGCCAATA